CCGCACCCCTACGTACCCCCCCATATCCCACAGGGCATGTGGTGTGTTGGCGTACGAGCTGGTTGTGGGCCGATGTCCCTTTGAGCAGGAGAGCAGGTCGGCCACGTATGAGGCCATAATGTACAGGTGGGTGACGACCCGGGCTGATTAATCACTGTCTGTCATCACTCAGCGTGGCTTGTGGCACTTCGCCCTTGGCTCAGGACAGCTAAAGGGGTGCGATTCAATGGTCAAATTGAGGGCGTCTAGGGTGATGGTGGGGGTGGGGGACAGCCACACATCTCGGAATTTACAGCAATAATTTGGAGTTTTGGGTTGCTGGGAAGGTGGGAACCGGCTTTGTGGAAGTGTCATTTGTGGATGTGCCACCAAACATGCGCATTTTGCTGTGATGAGTTGCAACGTCATGCTGTGAGATTGTTGGCTGTCGGGAGGGTGAGAGCATAGCACACTGCAAGGCCCTCGGGGTCACTGCACCTGGTGGCACCTGGGGGACCCTGATTTGATACGGTTGGCAACTGCCAGGAAGCTGCACACGGCACTCTTGAGACTGGCAGGGCTTAAGGTGGAGCTGGCAACAAAGGTGGTCAAAGAGAATGAAGAGTTGAAACGGTGTTGGGCACTCCGCATCATGGTATGAAGGCCTCGCCCACCCAGCGGCCGCCCTGCACTCTGCGCGCAGGGAGGTGAGGTTCCCAGGCCACGTCTCGCAGGAGGCGCGCGACTTCATCAGCGCGGCCCTGTCAAAGGTGCGCCGGCCGGGCCTGTTTGCCAAATAGGTAGATGGAGTAGAAACGGACAGCAGAAGGACAAAGCTCGAAAGCACTGCGCGTGCGTGCCGCGCGCTGATAGGCACCTAGGAAGTGCGCGTCGGCCGCATCGTTCCATCATTTCAGAATCTGGCCCCCGGCCTGCGGTTACATCGCTGTTCGGCAGGCCCCCAGCGCGCGGCCGACAGTCCAGGCGATGAGGAGTCACCCCTGGATCTTGATGCACACGCCGCGGGGATCTGCGGAGCACGACTGGGCCATGGATCTGCAGCAGGAAGTCTGGGAAGACGGAGAGTTAAGAGACGACGAGGCGGCAGCAGCCGCCCTCAGCGGTCGCGGCGCCAGCGAGGTGGCTGCGCCAGCAGAGGCAGCGGAGCCTACGGCAGAGGCAGCCGCGGCGGCGCAAGCAGCGCTGCACCCCGCGGCGCCTGCTATAGAGCAGTCGGAGGGCTCGGCGGACGCGCCGCCGCCGGACGTGCCGCCGCCGGACACGTCCGTGGCCCCGCAGGCGGGTGATTTGCCCAGCACAGAGCTCGCGGTAGCGCTTCCGGTAGAGCCCGGTTTGCCTGCCAACAGCGGTGCAGATGCATCGCCTGCGGCGGCCGCGGAGCCCGAGGATGAGCGGCCGCCGGCGCTGGAAAGCGAGGGCGGCGGCCGCGGCGGCGGCGGCGGTGATGCAGGCAGCAGGGGCGGCAGCGAGAGCGGCGGGGACCGCAGGCGCAGCTGCAGCGCAGAGGAACAGGGGTGTCGCTCAAGCGGAGGCCCTCACGGCGCCCACTTTCCTTTCAGTGAGGACGGCGGCATCAGTGTTAGCGGCGGCTGCGGCGGCCTCCTTGATGGTTTGGCGGCCCCACAACTGGCAAGCTCGTCGCCCGAGGGGACCATCGCCGCGCCGCCGCCGCCAGCATCGGCGGCTGCGG